GGCCGCCGTAGAGACGAGACTGTCGCTTTTGTGTACAGAACAGGGAAATTAATGTGTGAGAGGAGAAAGTCGGTAAACATCTGTTCTCCCTGTGTGCCCGTAGTACAGTTTGTTTACAGGTGTGCTAGCAGCTTCCACGGGAGGTAAGATGGAAAAGGGTGTGCTTTGAAGCTATTTTAATAAAGATTCCGTTTATCGTCTCCGACGTGGTTGTGGTAACAAATTTCAACGTTATTAAACAAGGTTACTCGGTTCAAAGTAATCTCGAAACGCCTGCATAAAACACTTTGATGATCGCTCCCGAAGGAAGCTCATCCACTTTTTAACACTCGGATAGTCAGGTCCTCCCATTTAACTTTTTTCTAAATTCTCAAATCCACAAGTTCTGAAACTTGACAGAAGAAACCGATGCAGATGACTGCTAAGTGTCCCGAAGACAGTTCCTCTTTTCTTCTTCGCGCGTTTCTGAATTGCGTGACAGGTTTTGGGCACGCAAGCACGTTCTGTATACACGTCGATGCTTCCGCATTTCCCTGCGGTCTTATCTAGCCAACTGTTCCGTCAGGTGTCGGAAATGGCGCGGTAGATTGCACCATTTACCAAAGTCCTTTCAGGTCGCGGCTTTCTGTATATACTAGGTTGCACGCGCGCCACTTTTAATGCCGTGTATCTTGGCCGTAGTTTGTTCGATTCGATAGAGAAGATTGACGAGCATCCTCGTTTCGAACAACGGTGTACGCGACGGAAATCTATCGACCATCGCGCAGTTTTGTACTTCGAATTAAAGCCATCTATGCGGAAAGTCGCGATAAAAGTATCGTACGGATTAACGCAAAGCTCAATGGTTTTAATTTCGAACGAATTCGCAAGATACGAGCGTGAAATTGAGAGAACTTGAAAGTAGTCTGGCTGCATCGATCACGGATCGAGTTGGACGTATTCGTACTTTAATTAATCCATTAATCATTCAACTACCGTGTACTTTAGTGACATGTTCTATATATCGCAATTACGAAGTTTGAAAATAACTTTGACGCGGTAAACACAAATTGCGTAGAAAAGTTGGAACTCATATTTATATTTTAATTAATTTAATTAGCTATTTCATTGCCGTGCGCTTTAATTGCCAGGGAATATGAGTCAAAGGTATAAGTGTGAAGTTGGGAAACGGGAAAGTAATTTGAACGTAGTAAACACGAGCAGGAGCGAAGGGTCGAACTAAAATATATTTACGTTTCAATTAATATCCATTACTTCGTATGCTTTAATTACAAGCATACTTCAAAGATACGCTGGGAGGTAACAAAATTTGAAAACTGTTTTTGTAACGAGAGGGTTCTAGAGCATATTTGCATTCCAATTAATGTCGTCTATTACTTAATTGCTGTAACTCTACAGTTGAAAATTTCGTTGAACCTCAAATATCTCGTACGTAATTTCGTCGTAAAATAATCGAAAAACACGAAATAACGTTTTAAAAACTCGCTACGCAGTGTTTTCGCATTTAGTTGCAAATGCGATTACTTCGTTAGCATAATGGTACGAACCTTTGTTTCAAACCGAAAACCCTCCCCCGGTGTTAATAAATTTTCGAAACGTATCTGAAATACCCTCGCAGCGTAGATGCACATATTTAACCTCCGAGTCTTCCCGGCCGTGCCATATAATGAAACAGAAGGACGACGTTATACGGTCATATTTAACAGGTTGCTCTCGAACGAGGCTCCCAGATGAAGTCATCAAGGAGGCGTTTAAAAGACCCGTGTATTCCACGGTCGAGACGATAACGCGATAAAGAACGAACAGGCGTGTTAAGAGCAGTCACCTAGCATGCAAATTTCCGCGGATAATTCTGGCGGCCTCGGAGAGAGAATTGGCCACAGGAGATTGGCCGCGGGCCACGAGCAAGATTAATTTTAAAATTCGTCGAGATTCACAAAGGTACGCTCCGTTTACAGCAGCTAATTCAAAAGCCGAAGGTATCCGTCCGAAGCTATAAAGATGTTCGTCCCGAGGCGTGGTTCAAAACACCGCGCCGGGATATAATGATAATTGGAACGAACTTCTCGGCGCAAAAATAGAGGCGAGATCCCTTTTCGCTCATGTATATGAAAATGCCAGGGAAAGTCCCGTGGAAAGTTTTTACACGATCATCGCTACCACCATTATCACCTCGACGAAACTCGAAGCAAGTTTTGCTCGAAGAAGAACCAGATAACACGTTTTTCTTATTCTAAACGGATTTGTATCATACTCTTCGCAACTTCTCCATCGGACGTTCTGGCGATGCGAATTTCGAGCTAACTACCCGA